GTAGAAAAGAAGAAAAATGAGAGGAGCTAATTGAAGGCAAGGAAATTCCTCTACGAAGATCAACAACAATTTAGAAGTTTAGAAGGATGAAAGAATAAGCGAAAAATACTCCGGCCATCTCTTATAATTTTGTCATTTTTTATTATTTCAAATACTTTTTCATTTTTCATTTTATTCAATTAATTTATAGTTCATATTATTTTTGTCTCATCTATGTAAATCACAATCATAGTATTTTTATTTTATTATTTTCTGTGTTAGATCAAATTTGAAAGAAAAATGAAGGTAGTAGTTTAGAAAAAGCCGTAAAAAAAATACTAGCTTCCAAATTTGGCCCGCAAATAGCGTTCTCAAAGTTGGAAGGCCGAAGGCGTTCCTTGAGAAACTTGTAAGGCTGAGTGAGGGGATATTTTCCATTCTCAACCGGTGTGGGAAAAATGGTCAGAGCGCCTCAATGCTTTGAATATGGGTTTTAGCGAAGCACTGATGTTTCGTATTACATTCAATTTTCATTATTCATTATTCCTAAACATCACGATAGTATATTATGGTATATATATGATTGTAAATTTGTTATTATATTTTTATATGATTGTTATTATATTATGGTTTATATGCTCACCATTATCAATCAAAATTCTTATATTTTTATTCATTATCATTGTTATTAGAGGTTTATCTCATGTATTACTATAATAATAGAATTAATGAACAAAAGTGAGACATGGAATGTAATTGGTATGTATATTTTTATTGTACTCCGTACTATAATAAAAAAATTGAATCTAATTATACAATAAATTTTACCGAGTCGTATTTTTATCCAATATCCTTATGTTGATCATATATACTCCCTATTAGGTATCTTTTCTTTCTCTTACTATTAATATTATCATTCAATTGCTTTTTCCCGATCTTATTTTCGTGTAATTGGTGAATATATTTGCTAGATTAAGAACTTGGCAATTTTTTTTTCATTGAAAATTCCAATGATATGATGTTCTTTAATAACTTCGTGTAATATTCAACTTACATATTAAACATAGCTCTAGGAAAATTAAAATAAACGATAAAAATCAAAACACATTTTCCCGCCTAAGCCCCGCCTAAACTTCAAAGGCTTAAAATTTGGTTGTGCCGCTTCGGCACGCCTTACGCCTTTTAGAACCTTAGTTACAATTATAAAGGGAAAAGGGGCAAATAAGCCTTCGAACTAATCAAAAAAGTGCAAATAAGCCCTTTTGTAGGAGGTTCTGACTGATCATCGTCATTTGGGGAGGTTCTCGGTGGAATTTTTTGATGAATTTTTTTGAGCATTTTCTTCATCAAGTCTAGTTTAGCCATACCAAATTTCAGCTAAAATTTAAACCGGAAAGGCACTCAAATGATTTTTGAAAATATACTGTGTTGTTTAACTGCACAGTTATCTTCAATAATTCATTTGACTGTCTTCCAGATTGAATTTTTAGCTGAAATTCGGTATGACTAAACTAGACTCAATGAATAAGATGCTCAAGAATTTTCATCAAGAAATTCCACCGGGAACCTCCCCAAATTACGATGGCCAGACTGAACCTCCTATAAAAGGGCTTATTTGCATTTTTTTTATTAGTTCGAGGGCTTATCTGCCCCAATACTTCTAAAATCCAAAGTATTCAAAAAGTTGAAACACAGGAAAAGGACAGCGCGAAGAATGGGAGTGCATGTGAATGAAAGCTCTACAAAGAGCTATCCCCAGCTCCTCCGGCTTTTCCAAAAAAGTTCAATCCTAATGGACCCCGCTATTTCCCCTCCTTTCACAACGGGCCAACTCAGGCGCTCAAACAAAAAGTGCAATAAGGATGTTTTTACTTGGACTGTAATTTGTCCCAGACCAGACCAGACCAGACCAGTCCAGACCAGACCAGACCAGTTCAGACCAGACGAGACCAGACCAGACTTGGATAGTTATAAAAATACAAAGAAACCAGACCTTACCAGACCAGACCAGACCAGTTCAGACCAGACCAGACCAGATCAGACCAGACCAGACCAGACCAGCAAATTACAGTCCAAGTAAAAACATCCTAAATGAAGCATGCTCCTATTCTCCGGGACTCGCCACCCATCATAAATCATTCACTAAAAAATACTCTCTCCAATTCATGTTCAACTTTTTCTTTTCCGACATTTTCAAAATTGAGTTCTGTTTTCAAATACTCCCTCCGTCCCAGGGAGAACTTCCCGGGTTGACTTTCACACATATTTAGGAAATAAAGTTACTGAGGGGTAAATTTTACTGTTTGGCACTGTTTCGACACTGTTTGACACTGTTTTGCACTGTTTGACACTGTTTTGATATAGGATAACTTTCCATTTAGGGAAATGGGAACTTTTTGTTGGGACTACCAAAAAAGGAAAGTGGGAACTTCTCCCTGGGACGGAGGGAGTATTTTTTATTTGACAAATTATCTACATCAAAATAGTTTCAAACAGTGTCCGAATAGTGCACTCCACAGTAAAGTTACATTTCTTTTCTTAATATATGTGAAATCAAAACCAGAACTTCTTTTAGAATCAGAGGGAGTAAAAGAAATATACGCGAGTATATATTGAGGTAATTTACATGGAAAATAGAGGGGAAAAATCATTTGGAAGTTAGGTTTTATGAATTTGATAGGAGATAAAAAGAAGAAGAAAAGAGGAAAATGGGGTAGTCACAAAAAATTAAAACACATAAAACTACGTTATTCAATTAAAACCAACACTTTGTGTAAAAAGAATTGTTTAAGAAGGTGAGAGTTCCCATGTTTGAAATGAAAAGATTGTTTACTTTAAGTGAAAAAATGTTTAAAACATACGTATTGTTTACTTTGATCCGGTTTCAAATGAGACAAAAAAATCATTTCGGATCTTGAGAAGTGTGTTTACCAAACAAAATAGCTCCCTCCGTACTGGTGTGCGGTGGATATCGTCAATTTGACACAAGCGAATCATAATGACCCCGGTATTTACCCCACTGATTTTGGTGGTGCCTTCCGGGGTAAAAAAAAAAAAAAAAAAAAAAAAAAAAAAATGGTTTGATTAATGTTCAGGTAGAGGCAGGAAAATAAGACGAAGTATTAATCACATACTACACATTGTTTACTTGAGAAAAGACAATGATTTTTTAAGCAACCGTATAACATAGTGGGCAAAGACGCAAAGTTGAGGGGACGGTAGCCATGCTGCACGCTGGGTCGCTGGCCATACTAATTTTCGACTCCGTATTACAAAAATGTGAAAGTATTCCATCCAATATTTCTCCTTCTATTAGGTTGACCTTTTATAATGAAACCCAATGTTTTAACAAAAAACTAATTCGGTAATCCTGGGTATAAAGTAATCTAACTACAATCATATAAGATTTGATATGATGGTTCAACAAGCTAGAAAACTAATTTTGGTGTATAGTAGTTCTCTAGAGTTTACGTAGCTACTTAGATTAGGGACAAATGAGAGTAATGTGGTTTTTAAGAGAAGTAGAATTATGTGATCGAAAATGAATTGATAAAGTGATAATAAAGTAAAAATGAATTAGAGTCACACAAATATATCAAATATAGTATTGGAAATATTTAGTGAGATATACAGAAAAGAAAAAATGAGACACTTATAATGGAATGGAGAGACTATATATATGTTACAGTTTTCTAGAATTCCCAAGAAAAAATGACCAAAAAGAAGTACTCCGTCATTTTTATGAGAGAAAAGGGGCAAATAAGCCCTCGAACTTACCGAAAAAGTGCGAATAAGCCCTTTTATAGTATGTCCAGCCGTCGCCATTTGAGGCGGTTTCCACTGGAATATTTTGATGAATTTTTTTTAACATCTTCTTCATTAAGTCTAGTTTACTCATACCAAATTTCAGCTAAAAGTTCAACTGTAAAGGCAGTCAAATAAATGTTTGAAGATAACTGAGCAGTTAAACAGTGCATTATAATTCAGAAAATCATTTGGTTGCCTTCCCGGTAGCTAAAATTTGGTATGGGTAAACTATACTTGGTGAATAAGATGCTCAAAAAAATTCATAAAAAAACTCTACCTGGAACCGCCCCAAATGGCGACGACCGGACAGAACTTCCTATAAAAAGGCTTATTTGCACGTTTTCAGTTAGTTCGAGGGCTTATTTACACCTTTTCCCTTTTTATGAGACCAAATTTATGAGACTAAATTTGGTTATACCAAACTTGTACTACGTAGAACGGTTGTTACATAAAAACATGTGTGGGAAACATTTTTTCAAGGTAGCTAATGGTGCAAGTTTGGATGAAAACCATCCCAATGCTCAAAGTGAAAACGCGATTGACCACACTTTTCAATACAGTCAACTCTAACCCGGTTGGACAAATTCGTAACTTTTTTTATTTAATTATTCTACAAAAAAACTTTGTCACTTAAAATAATAGATACTTCGTATGTTTTAAAAGTTATTTATACTCCGTATATTTTTGCACAAAAATCAATCATTCTCCCTCCGTCCTAATTTGTTTTGCAAAATCAACATTTTTTGGTGAACAAATAATAAAAGCCAACCCTCTTTAAGGATAATTAACTCAATTTTTAAAAGTTGCAAACACCAAATTATAATATAATTTAACATTGACATCCTAATTAAGCGAACAAAACAAAACTGTTTGACTAAGAAAAGTCGAATTTGCAAATAAATTTGGGACGGAGTAATAAATTTTTTGCCCAAACTTTATGGGATGGAAGAAATATCATCTATATAAATTGAAATATTGTATATTGATTGCGAAAAAAATTATTTAGAAAATCGGGACACCAATACATTCATCCCATAATGACATATTTATAACACGAAAAGCATCATACCAGGAACATGTTGACCATTGAAGTGGACGCATCAATAGCATAATAGATTCATCCCATATCAATAAAGTCAATTATTTTGAGAAAAATGCATTTTGTGCCATTTGTCTCATTGAAATATCTGTTTCACCCCAAATTTTATAAAATAATAAATCTCTTTATATGATTTTGAAATGGAACCGTATGTCTTAACAATGATAGTCATTGTTGTTGAACACTCTTAATCTGTGACTGGTTAGAGTCTATTTGACCCATTTGATATTGTCCCTACCGTTATGGTCTGAGAAGCAACGTAATTAGCATATTATATAGAGAGATTTACCTAAATAGGACTAAAACTAGGTAAAATTGTAAAAGTAGGACTATTATGTTTTATTTGACAAAAATAGGACTAAAAAGAGGCAACCTGACAAAACTGCCCTTAATTAAAAAAAAAGCCCCTGCAACTCATAGCATCACTCCGCCGACTCTTCAATTCATCGCAGAACATCTCTTCCTCCCATGGAAGGCTACTCCCCCATCGACTGCTTGGCCTCGCATAGCCAACTCCTCCATCGACTGTGTGTCTGTGTCTTCTTCTTCCTCTCCTGCTTCTTCCTCTTTTGCTTCTTCTTCTAATCCTGTTCAAATTTTTGATCCTCTATTCTCGGCTTCTATCCTCTATTAATTTTGATTAATTTGGAACCTCAAAATGCCATAAATTTCAAGCAATTAGAAAAATGTCACTTTTATGACATTGCATTTATCAAGATGACAGTATGTCATGAAACTGACATTGTTACTCAACAAATTGACACTTTAAATATGTCATTTTTGTTTCGAAAATGTCATGCGAATGACATTATTACTCTTTGAAGATGTCATTTTTTTCTTTGAACTGCCACCTTCGCAAATGTAATGTCATAAAAGTGACATTATTACAAATCAGTGTTGGATTAAACATCAATTATGAAATTTTTCTAAAGTTTTTTAATCTCAAAGTAAAAATGTTATCTTCATAGATGTAATGCCACATAAATGACATTCTTCAAAAAAATTATTGACAATTTTATGCATTATCAGATTCTTGCTTTATAAATAAAACTGAAATCCACAGAACAAGATAACAGAGTACCAGAAAATTGAAGAGGCTGAGAAGAAGAAGAAGAAGAAGAAGAAGAAGAAGAAGAAAAAGAAGAAAAGAAGAGGAAGAAGAAGAAGAAGAGTACATACCTGACTTGAATTGACTGGAAAATTGCAGCAGAGGTCATCCTTGGCAGAGCTGCGGCGATGCGAGAATCGTTGAAGAGTGGCGGCCGGCGTCGAGCAAGCAGCGGCGACGATAGCAGGTCGAGTCGAGGGCGGTTGAGCTGAGTCGCAAGGGGAAATACTCGCAGGTATCAGGATCGATGCAGGCAGAGGGATTGGGGAAAAGGTGTTTTGGGGATTGGGGGTAAAAATGTAATCAGGAATCCCATTTATGCAATTTAAAACTTCAAGTCCTATTTTGGAGTTTTAACCATGTTTTAGTCTCATTTAGGATAATTTCTATATTATATAAGATTTTGAGTTCCTATTAGGTTGATCAGTGAAACTCCCATACTAGTGAAGATGCAGACAGCTTTTAGTTTTTTATATAAGATTTTGAGTTCCTATTAGGTTGATCAGTGAAACTCCCATACTAGTGAAGATGCAGACAGTTTTTCGTTTTTATTGCAATTGCCAACAATGAAATCCAGGTTAAATATCACTGCGCAAAACTCTAATTTCAGTGATAAAAGGCTTAAAAGATCCCCATATTATTATGATAAGCACAAAATCTAGAGCTTAAATCAAATGGGACTTTAACTCAAAAGTCTCTTTGGTAATAAAAATTGGGCTGAAATGACTTGATTTACTGAAATAATGGTTGATTCGGCTGTACTAATAAAAATTGGTGAATAATAGATAATACTCCCTTCGTCCCCCTTATATCGTCCCGTTTTACCTTTTCGGGAAATCCCACTAAAATTGTCTCATACCATATTTGCTGAACTTTGTGTGACTTTAAATCATTTTTACTTTATTCTTACTTTATCAATTAATATCAACCACACAACCTCATTTTTCTTAATAATCGTGTCACCCTCTTCCGTCCATATATAAGAGGGATGGAGGTAGTACAAGTCTAGTTACTGGTATAAAAATAGTACTCCCTCCGTCCCGAAATAAATGTCTTGCTTTCCTTTTCGGTCCGTCCCAAAATAAATGTCTCATTTCTATAACTTCCTTATTTGGTAAACAAATCTATACCAAACAGTGTCAAACAGTACCAAACAATGTTGCTACAGTGATAAACAGTGTGTAGTCAAATTCATTTTTTTAATCTCTGTGAAAGTCAAACCAGGACGTTTATTTCGGGACGGATGGAGTACACATACAAGTTCTTGATCACTATCTTTTTCATGGTCAGTCGATTAGGTCAATAAAACCATACTCCCTCTGTTCCTATATAAAGGTACCTGTTGAGTTTAATCCAACACGATATAGTAAATATATGTATGAACACTCAGTTTTTACGTGGAAACCCAAAAGGGAGAAAACCACGGGACTTTTTAGGCTAATGTCCAAGCCCTCTCTTTCTCATTAGGACTCTCCTCACCATTACAAGTACAATTTGAGCTCCATTAATGGAGTATTGAGCTAAGTCTAAAAGAAGAAGGAAGATGGAGCTAAAAGAGCCTCCCAATATGGAGGGAAACTCCCATATTTATAGAGAATAGGGGAAGGGGATGCTCTCCACCCTAATGGGCCGCATGGGCTGAAATGGGCCTAACTGCTCGGGCTCCGTACTGAGTAATGTCTTGGGCTCCTGAACAGTAATAGGCCGGGATAATATATCCCAACAGTACCCAATCATTTTACACACATTTTAAGAAAGTAGAATTGTTTGACATTGTTTTTCATTGTTTTGTATACCAAAAAAATATAGAACTTTTATTTAGGGACGGTTGGAAAAGGAAGGAGAACTCCTATTCACGGGAGATGGGAGTATTAGAGGCCGTATGACAACACTGTTTTTCGGCTTATCGGGCTTATCAGCTATTTTTTCACCAAACACAGTAACTTTTGCTTTCGCGCGCTGAATTGTATAATAAGCAGAAAAAGTAAGGTTGGAGTTACTTTTCTGGCTGTATTGACTGAAGTTACTGTAGACGACAATTTTAGCTATTTTTACAAATAATGTTTTGTTTATTTTATTAATAAAATATACTCCCTCCGTCCCAAAATTATTGTCTCGTTTGGTTTTTCACACAGATTAAGAAAAGACATTGTAGTGACACTGTTTGGCACTGTAGCAACACTATTTGACACTGTTTGGTATAGATTTGTTTACCAAATAAGGAAGGTAAAGAAACGAGACAATTATTTCGGGATGGACCGAAAAGGAAAGAGAGACAATAATTTTGGGACGGAGGGATTATTTTAACAATAATTTTTTCTTAAATCAGCAGAATCAGCCAATGCAGTCACTTCAACCAAAACTTCATAAATTTCAGAAGAATCAGTCAAATCAGCCGATTTTCATACTACCAAATGGGCTCTTAGTGATTCAAACCGAAAAAAGGACGGAAAGGCTATGAAATTGGGGGAAATGACAACAAACTGACACTTAAGTGAAACATAGACAAACTCTTGCTGATATTTCATGCATGTTTAGAAAAATAACAATCCATATCAATATCTAAACTGGAATCTTTAAATGTGACTCACGCCATTATTATCTCTCGTAGGGCTGGGAGAAAACTCCCGATCCCGATCCCGACAATCCCAATCCCGACTAGTTGGGAATTTTTCCCGATCCCGACTAAGTCGGGACGAGACTGAGATTTTTTTTTAAGTCGGGATCGGGAAAATCCCGACATCCGGACACTATATATATATATATATAATATAGAAATATATATATATATGTATGTACACGTGTATATAATTATATATGAATATATAAAAAATTAATACAAATTTATAAAAAATGAATATGTATCTAAATATTTGCATATCTTTTTAAATTACTTATTCCTTACATAGATTAATTTTTTACTACGAGTATCTTACAATATCAAACTTCTAAAACTATTCGACATTAGTGCGAAAATGAATATTCGGGATCCTAACTAAATAGAGATTATTCTTGATCCCGACAATCTAAATCACAACAATATTACAAATTTTGCGGTTCGGATGAACTCTTTAAAATGATCGAGACTAAGATTTCTTACTTTAGTAAATAATCATAATATGTATTTACACATCCTTCTTTTAGTGATTTTTATAAAATGTTTGAAGTAAGTTTCACTAAGCCTTGATAGCTCATTCAAAAATTATACTCGTACTATTAATTAATTGAAGTTACAAATAAAAATTATTCTAAAAGTATGTACTAGTGTGATAAGTAAATGATGATAAATATGGTATAACAATGAATAAAGAATAATTTTGAAACCGCTAAATATCAAAGTTAGTGTTTAACTAAAGAAATTACATAATTTTATGTTTGATACTTCATTGTCGGAATTAAGTGGGATTCCCGATCGGGATCCCGGCTTAATCGGGATTTTAATGTCGGGATCCCGACCTAATCGGGACGGGATACGGGATCCTCTTGTAGTTTGAATCGGGATCGGGACGAGATCGGGATTTGGGCAATCGGGATCGGGATCATCCCGATCCCACCCCTAATCTCTCGTAGGCGAATTAATAATAACAAAACAGGTTAAAAGAAAAGCAACAATATAGTGATCATTGAGCTAAAGAGAAAGTCTTGTACTTCACTAACCACAACAATAATAACAATAATAAAATACATTACTCCCTATGTCCCAATATTAATTTCTATTTACACAAGATTAAGAAAATGAAAATTGTATGATGAAAAGTTATATAAACAAAATACAAAAAATGATCGATATAAACCACAAAATTTCCAAAAAACAAAATGAAGTTTATTTTGAAAAACATAAAAAGAAAAAAAGAATAAAAAAGAATGATAAAAATTGAGACGAAGGTATTATTATAAACCTGACTTGGGGTTGATGTGATAATTTGAGAAACGAATTCCTCAAAGACAAAATCGAAGCCCAAAGTCCAAAGCGCTCATTTCAGAAATTTTTATCAAGTTTAATTCGAACGGTAAACTTTTTATCACACAAATTTGATCATTAATATCTTTCATTTCGAATTAGTACAAAAATTAAAATATTTAAATATTGACAATTCAAAATGTGAGGAATTTGACGATATTTTTTTAAATATAATTTATAATACATCAATAAGTACGATAGTACTCCGTAAAATATAATCAAAGTAGTACATGTTAATAGTGCAAAAAGTTCAATGTTGCATTTAAAAGAGAACGGATCAAGTACAGAGTAATAAACTAACATGCCATTGGTCCAACTTGATAAGTTGAATACTCCGTACTCCGTATTAAATAACTACATTTCATTGCCAAATAAGCCATATTTGAAAATATTCCTGCACTATATTGCATACATTTGACAAAGGCAAGAAAGTGGCCAGCTTAATTCTTAGAAAATTTAAGTATGGAAATACTATAGGGAGAATAATCTCATTTAGTAACACTAAAATTGGTTGAATTGATTAAATCTAAGTTTATAAAATTATATGTGAAACTATTGAATTATGAAAAAACTATCTGTACAACATATTTTATTAATATAACAATTGTATTTTTTACCATAAAATAGCTACAATAGTCATCTTCAACAAAAATTCATCAATTCAATAAAAAAGTAGTATCAGCTTCACTTATTTTGAATGTTACACAAATCAGCGAGCAAAATCCAAAGGTAACATTTGATAAAAACAGGTAATTAATGGTAACAATTGAACTAATCTTCAATTGAGCTAAAGTTTACTCTAGCATGATACTAGAAAAAAACAATCAAAGTGTACTCTAATAACAAACCATTTTCTGTCAATCAGGAACACAAAGGCCACCAGAGGGGCTCATATTCCATTGAGCTAAAGTTATAGAATTGTGATTCTAATAATAATAATAATAATAATAATAATAATAATAATAATAATAATGATAATAATAATAATAATGATGATAATGATGATGGTGATGATGATAATAATCTGTGTAGTATTATACATTAGTATAAAGCTGATTTGGTGTTTTGGTACACTACGGAAACGATCTTGTCCAGCCGGAGGGACATGATACTCCGCCCAACCGCCGGCCGCCGGCCGCCGCTGTTTGGGGTAGCTCCCGGCGGAATTTTTGGATGAAATTTTTTGGGAATGTTCCTCATCAAGTCTAACTTATAAAAAAATCAGCTAAAAAATTGATCAGGAAGATAGTCAAATAATTTTTTGAAAATAACTGTGTTTTATATGTTTAATTTCGCGCGGTTATCTTCCAAAAATCATTTGACTACGTTCCCGATAAAATGTTTAGCTGAAATTTTTTGTGGATAAACTAGACTTGATGAGGAACATTCCCAAAAAAAACATCAAAAAATTTCACCGGAAACTGCCCTAAATGGTGCGTCCGGACGGAGGAACCTGTCCCTCCGGCGGGAGGGGATCATTCCTGTGGCACACTATACGGATTATGTAGCAAAGAAGCATTCCCAATCAGACATAACTTTAACTTGGCAGTGTAGTGTAAATCATTGGTAAAGGTCTTAAACTAGGGGCGGGCAAAAATACCGAGCCGGCATGGTACCGAACCGAACCGATATTGTACCGGACCGAAAAATGGGGTTTGAAACAGATCTCAATGTTTTTGTCCCAAACCGAACCGTACCGATTCTAAACAATGTCATGACCGGTTCTCATAAAATGAGAACCGGTACCGGACCGAACCGGACCAAAGTATGATCAATGATTTAAATTTACATTTATACCCTTAATTACTTTGACTACTGTCTTCACACTTTCACCGTCTTTCCTAATTCATAGGAAGCCTGGAATCGGACCGATGTATGGTTTAATTATTTATATTTGTACTACTATAATTTATCTGAAATTTATTAATTATGTAAAATACTACATTCATCCCAAATTGATTTGCAAAATTAACTTTTCTTGGTCAAACAGTTTCATTTTATTCACTTAACTAGAATGTCACTTTTTAATTATATTTAATTTGGAGCTTGCAACCTTGAAGAGATTTCAATGTAGTTTCTGAATATGTTTATTTTAATTATTAAAAAATAAATCAATTATCAATAAAGAGAATTTAACTTTAACATGGTTGACAAAAAAATTATTGACTTTGCATGTCAATTTGAGATAAAATGAGTATGAAAATTGATAAATTGTGTCGATTTTTGGAGGATGAATAAACTTTAATTTCCTTTTAAGCACTTGAAAAAAGTGGCATTGTTTGGTATTGGTATGGCATAGTACCGTCCCGTTTCAAAATGAAACCGTACCGAACGGGTTTAGGTCTAAGACCGAACCGAACCGTTTGAATAGTAACGGTACGGATTCGGCCAAATATTGGACCGGACCGGACCGCGTCCACCCCTATCTTAAACTGGAACCTTTTTACCAATAAATGTTTTCTCCAATCATAGAAATAAATTCAAAAAACATCACAGTAAATGAGTCCGATAAATGATTTTGTCTTGTTTTTTGCAGTACAATCAGTGGTTCCAACCAAGGAAAATACTGTAGTAATAGGTCATTTCAAGTGTGAAATGTCAAAATCAGAACCAAAAGGTCTTTGTATACACGCTTCATTTCCTCTGACAAAAAAGAGAGGAGTGGGAAAAAACATACGGAGTACGTTGTATTTCATACGGAGTACTGGTATTAAAAAGAGATATTACCCGAAATAGAACTAAAAATGTTTGAAAGTTCCAAAATAGAACTGTCATGTTTTTATTCCCAAAATAGGACTAATTACTATCATGTTTTGGCAGTACCAGACTTCAAACATAGCAGTATTTTCCAAACTTGACAGTAATTACTCATATTTTGGGAATAAAAAACATGTCAGTCCTATTTTGGAATTTTCAAACTGTTTTAGTCCTATTTCGGGAACTTTCCCTATTAAAAATTGGTTTAAATATGTTTTTAGTCCCTGCAAATACATGTCACTTTGTTTTAGGTCCTTGCAAAATATTCTCTTTGTTTTTCATCCTTCAAATTAATGTTCATTTTCTTTTTAGTCCATGACTAATGATAACAACCTCTATTTGACACTGAAACAATCCCGACTAATAGGTATCCTTAAATTCTTTGTCATACCATTCAAAAAGTATTTAATTACATTTTTAAAGGATTTTTTATTAACATTTTTTAGAATAGGAATAATTAGTTTTATAATTGTTTTAACTCTCTTATTAACCTCAACAAAATTATAAACTGATAAATTTAAACGCTTCTAGTTGATTTATGCAACCGACAATAAAAAAATTCTAAGTAGAGTTGTTTCGTAGTTAGAGATGGACTAAAACCAAAATAATGCATATTACAGGGATGAAAAACAAATAAAATATTTTAGCAAGGATTTAAAACAAAGTGATCTATATTTGCAGGGACTAAAACCATATTTAAATCTTGAAAATTAGAAGGAGCAATATGTTTTCCATTGAGGTTTGCAACTTCCTATATTTGAATATGACCAATAGACCCAGAAAAAAAAGATGGAAGAATACATAAAGTCACACTCAGCCACAATTCGTTTAAGGACAAAGCACGCGAGGGCCCTTTTGAAGGAACAGTTCCCAATCTAAGACTAAACTATACCTCATTAAGACCTGGCTTAAGTTTCGTTCTGCTTCCATACCTTAAAGCTGTGTTTCATTATCCATCTTAACTTTACATCGATTTTCATGTATGTGTGCAAAAGGAGGGAGCTAGGCATGGTTTTAAATTGTGGACTGCAATCCCATTGAGGCCCCAATATTGGGATCCGGAGCCTCTGCCTTGCTTTAAGAAGGTAGGGTGCCTTGCTCCGTTCGGACCGTCCGAACGGGGCAAGATCTTGGTCCCATTCTTTCTCCCATCCCGAGACCCTCTTCATCGCTGCCCTGCCGTCGGATGCCGCAAGGTTCTCTGTTGTGCGGCAGAGAATCGGGATCCCCAATATTGTGGCAGCATTGAGCTTTGAAATTCCGATTTTCTAAAAAAAATGCAACAGGACCCCAATGGGCTGCATCGAGACTACAACACGAATTTAATTTTTTCTTATTGCACACCGCATTGATTGCAATACGCGTCAGAGCGACTACAAGTAGGGGTGGGATCGGGATGATCCCGATCCCGATTGCCCAAATCCCGATCCCGTCCCGATCCCGATTCAAACTAAAAGAGGATCCCGTATCCCGTCCCGATTAAGTCGGGATCCCGACATTAAAATCCCGATTAAGTCGGGATCCCGATCAGGAATCCCGCTTAATTCCGCTAAATCCCGACAATGAAGTATCAAACATAAAATTATGTAATTTCTTTAGTTAAACACTAACTTTGATATTTAGTGGTTTCAATTTTATTCTTTGTTTACTGTTATACCATATTTATCATCATCTACTTATAAAAATTAGTGTAATAATTATCATCTCAAACACACACTAGTATATACTTTTAGAATAATTTTTATGTGTAACTTCAATTAATTAATAGTATAATTTTTGAATAAGCTGTCAAGGCTTAGTGAAACTTACTTCAAACAATATATAAAAAACACTAAAAGAAGGATATGTAACATATATTATTTAAAATTCAAAACTAAGTAGACTCATTGAGAAACTTTGTGACCAATGAATATAATGTGTAAATACATATTATGATTATCTACTAAAGAAAGAAATCTTAGTCTCGATCATAATTTTTTAAAGAGTTCATCAGAACCGCAAAATTTGTAATATTGTATGTTGTGATTTAGATTGTTGGGATCAAGAATAATCTCTACTTAGTTAGGATCCCGAATATTCATTTTTGGACAAATGCCGAATAGTTTTAGAAGTTTGATATTGTAAGATACTCGTAGTAAAAGATTAATTTATGTAAGGAATAAGTAATTAAAAAAGATGTGCAAATATTAAGATACATATTCATTTTTTATATATTCATATATAATTATATACATGTGTGTATATATATATATATATATATATATATATATATATATATATATATATATATATATATATATATATATAATGTCGGGATGTCGGGATTTTCCCGATCCCGACTTTTTTTTAAAAAAAATCCCGGTCCCGTTCCGACTTAGTCGGGATCGGGAAAAATTCCCGACTAGTCGGGATCGGGATTGTCGGGATCGGGATTGTCGGGATCGGGATCGGGAGTCGGGAGTCGGGAGTCGGGAGTTTTTTCCCAGCCCTAACTACAAGAGCCGCAGGAAGCAGCCACAATTTAAAAAAATGACACTCCATACCTAAAGGTCTCTAGAATCGATCGGACAGTTATTTAGGAGCAAGTGTAATTTAAGACCTGACCTAGAGGGAGGGAATAGGAGAGATACCTTTGCAGATGTTGCTGAGTTGAGACTCAATATTGTTGAGGAAGTTCGTAGCTTCGTGGAATGGCCGGGAGAGATCTGATTTGTACTTCACCAAGATGTCACAGTAGGTTTCCTATTGATAGGAAAAGGAATTTATTATATAAACAGTTCAAGTGGATGCAAACAAACTGTTTGAATAATTGACTCCACCAAAATAAAGAGAAGTTACGCAAGCATATGAAAGCTCCGCTGTGCTTGTAAGTAAAAACTAAAGAGATGGAGACAAGAGAGACCATAAAAATGTCGAGCTCGATATCATCTCCAGCGCACGCGGGCACACGACCATCATGCTTAAGCAAGCCGTTTTTGAGCCCGATTTCATCCAGAAGCTTTGCGACCTCCGGCGGCGCTCCTACCTGAAAACACCACAAAACTCGTGATTGCATCATCAATAAGCTCCACGAAGAAGCCTTCATGCCCGTTTTAAAATGCACACATAGATACACTTGACGACTTCCACCGAACATTTCAGAAAGCATAAGATTCGAGTTGCTGCATTTCATATTCAAAAATATCATGGCAGTTTTCAGATATCAGAAAAATCAAACGTTCTGAGAAGTGAACCCAGAAACTTAGCAAAACGGTTATATATATTCAATTTTTTTAGAATTGTTCGTTTGAACTATTGAATTTGTTGCCTAACCTTCTGGCAATCAATATAAGCTTCTAGGAGCTTCGGATAAGATGGATGAGCGGCGATTTGAGCTTTGATCAAGCTAATACCGTCGTTATCGTAGCCTAGGTCGTCCCAACTCGCAGCCGCATCGTCTAACCGTTCTCCGCCTCTCAAGTGAGCATCGGGAGTCACGGAACCGGCTTCGGAGCCGACTGAGCAATGGAAGCTGCCGGCGGCGTCAGTAAGGTCGTCGGAGCCGAGCATCGGAATCCGATCGCCCGCGGGTGAAGGAATCATGCCGTGGTAACTGTAGCTACAGTCAAACAGTCCGTCCGGTGGCATGACAGGTCTGTCGACGTAGTCCGGCGGAGATTGAAGCCCAAACATTCCATCCATGTAAGAGTGCTGCTTCTAATCCCAGGGCGCGTTCGAAGAGTTGATTATTCAATACTTCGTGCGACAAAATTGAACATCGATCACATATCGTTGAGCAGGGATATGATAGCGCATGCTTAATTGATTACTCCGTATGAGTTACTCCTTGAAGAAGGAGAAGGAGTGGGATATTGTTGCCTGCAGCTTCAGATGGCAATGGAAGTTAGAAACCAACATGAGGAGAAAGAAAGTCGGGAAGAGTATTAATTAGCGTTTGGTCTGGTTACACTAGATTCTCACCCGCGCATCAGGGATATTAAACTGTAAGAGTGATATGACATTATTTTTAAATATTATTTGGTTATGTGAAATGAAAGAAAATTGTCATATACGTAACATGCTTAATAAATTATAATTAAAGATCGAGTAGTGAAAACTCGGAGATAAGTAGTAAGTATGTTTTGGAATAAGTAGAAAAAAGTAAACGTCACAATCATAATCATAACATAGCAATAATAGAATAAGTAATGTTTATTTTCACATGTACTAATAGAAGATTATAATAGTTATAATAATAGTAATAAAATAGACAAAACTATAAAAAATATATTATAAACATTGATTTACACTTTCTTTGAGAAAAATATAAAACCTCTTTTTTTATATCTGAATTCATAACATTCACAATATCCATAATTATTAATTAATAAAACACTCAAAAAGTCATAATATTAATGATATATGAGTATTTTACTTTGTTTTACTTTAATGTACCAATTCTATAGATAGTTATATAAAATAATAGATAAATATATATAAATCCAGACTCAGCCCAATGTAAATAATCCTATGCACCTGACGGCCCATAACTAAACTCAGCCCAACCGCCTCTATTTAACCCTGCCCAACAACCCAGACCTAAACCGCCCTATAAAAGCCCTCCTTTACCCTTTGGTCACTTCATTTGCACTTCGGCTCTCTGATAAACCATGCGGTTATCCGATTTCCTCCTTTCTGTTCTTCTCACACACTTCCTCTTATTTGCTACTCTCTTCAATATTTCTGAAATCTGATCTGAGCATTGTTTCGGTTCATTGGCTGAGTAATCAACAAAAGATTTCAGACCTTACAATGCTCAGGTGCCTACGGTATATCTCTTGATTCTGTTTCATTTAATGGTTTTTGTTAATTAAATATATATCTTCCCACCAGAAATGAGTTAGTTTGTCCGATCTTGGGTTATTTGACCTGTTTTTTTCGGATTCATGGGCTGAGTGATCTTGAACTGATCTCAGACTTTAAATCTTCTCGTACTTTGGGTAGATCTATATATTTCTATTTTTTATCACCTTATGATGTACATGGACATCAAAAATGTTTTACCTAATGTTATTTTTCAAATCAGTAAATTTTTACAAAAAGATCTGACTTCTTCTCCAATCTTGGGTTATATGACCACGGTTTCGATTAAGGCTGAGTGATACTAAAAGGATCTCAGACCTTCCGTGTTTTGTCATTAGATCTGTTCACATGTAGCTCAAGTTTATCACCAAATGAACTGAGAAATTTTTCTCTTCCTTGGGTTACATGACCACGGTGGTAAGGCAGGCTGAGTGATGCTTAAAAGGATCTTAGACCTTCCGTGTATCGCCATTAGATCTGTTTACTTACACTTATATTTTTTTTTTTTTTACCAAAAGACTTCAGATTTTTATTTTATCCCATAAGTATTGAAAAAAAATATAATCCTTTTCAAATATTGAGTTAAATATTTTCAGCCATCCCATAAATACTGAAAAAAATATAATCCTTTTCAAATATTGAGTTGAATATTGTCGACCATGAGTGTAGTGCCTTTGATATGCATTCACTAAATATTATATTACTTAATCAAAGTAATATATTTTGAATATATGATATTATAATACTACTTACTCAAAACAATGAGATAAGCAGAACTGCAATGTCATCCAGTGGTTATGCAATGAACCTTTGAATTTTATTGAACAATAATTTCTGATTTTGATAGATTCATTACATACGGCAATGAGTCAATTTTTGACATGGTTATTATTTTTGTATTGTATATTCAAAGAAGGCTTAGTGTTTTGGACGCGTACACAATGAACATACAATTTTGCAATTAATTTTTTTTCAAATGGTGTTCATCAATTCGGTAATCTGGTCTTTGTGACTTTGGACTATATAAGACACTTTATTGAAAATGATTTTGGACTGTTTTTTATTTTAATTAGTTTATACCAAATCTTTGTGTATGCATTTTCTCTCATACACATGAAATTATATAGTCCAGAGGCACATTGAACTTATAAATCAGATTAGATCATGTAAACTTATGAGTCTACCTTTGCTGGTCATCTCTGATCTTGGAGACTTCTTACCGTTGATTGTGGTGCTTTTGGTGATCCTCTGTTATTAACTTGGCCAATTCTCTATGCTGTCGGATTCCCTGCCAGGATTTGCGTGGGCTGGCAGTCATATATGGCCTTAATACATGTAATCCTATCCCATGTAAACATTCTGGTAGTGTAAAGTAAACAAAACTGCACATTCATACAACTTTTCAAAAACAGAATTGCATTTCAGATAGTTTAGATTACAACATGCAGTGAAACACCAGTGAAATGCATAAACTAAACATATATCAAACCATTCTTCAGCAGTTTTTTTTCTTTCAAAAATGCATATGCATATTTACTTAAACAGAGCATTACATTACAATCATTACATGACCTTAGATAACATGAGACCGTGCATGTCACACAACCCCAACACAACCTGAACCTTCAGCGCCCAGGCAGGCTTAGTGTGATCAATGTCCTTGATCATGAACCACATCCCTGTTGATGATGAACCGGCCATTTCTGAGACTGTTTTTATGAAAGCTGGGTTTGCTTGTTTGTGGTGTGGAGACAACCCCAACTTCGGTTTTTATAGTGGCTAATGGGGTATAATACAATTCAATTGGGTATTAACCAATGGATAAACATCCACAATCTCTACATTCGAATTCTGTAGTACAAAAAATATATTGTGGTCTTGCATAGATAGTACAACACATTAAATGCATGTGTGGCTCAAGACATAATTTCGGATTTTCTTTTACCAACTCAGATTTGAAGTACAATTACTTCCTATTTTTTAAACAAAAATAAGGGCTTAATTACGGGGTGAAAAGGAAAAGCACTAAATCACTTTTATCTAGTACAACTCATTAAATGTTTTTGTGGCTCTAGGCTGAAAGTACAATTAATATAATATATTTAATCATTAAAGCAGCCTCTTTTCTTGAGCCACGCAACTAAAACATTGGATAAAGAGTCAGCATTAAAGAATTGTACTGTGCTACTTGCGAACCCATTTCCGCACTCATAGTGACCCGACCCGGCCCAATAGTGCACTGCATTTGGGCGGGAATACTGTTCATTTTTTCTTTTGGCTTTGTATAATAAAAGATTCTAGGAAATACTGGGTATGTGCCAATGGACGTAATTCTGTCATTTTTAGGAGATTTTATCACTATTTTAATTAAATCTCTACCTTTCATTTTGTCACGATATTTTAGTAGATCCATTATTTCCGTCACTTGGAATGGAATAAAAAATTCACTATTTTTTAATCAATATATATATAGGGAAAACTATCAAATAAGCCCCTGTACTATGTCGAAAAAGTCGATTAGACCCTCGTACTTTACAAATACTCAATTAAGTCCTTGAACTATTAAAAAACGTTCAATTAAGTCCTTTTGGTCGGTAAGTAACCGGTTTCCCGGTTAAACGGCGACGACGGCGACGATGTGCTTGAACCCCAGCAACGGCGGCTGCCGGGAAACAGGTTACATTTAACCGGGAAACCGGTTACTTACCGGCCGAAAGGGCTTAATTAAACATTTTTTAATAGTTCGAGGACTTAAATGAGTGTTTGTAAAGTACGAGGGCCTAATCGACTTTTTTGGCATAGTACAAGGGCTAATTTGATAGTTTTCTCTCTCTATATATATATATAAGATGAACTTTTTAAGAGCATACAAAGCGTCATATAATCCTGTCATGTCATTATATATATTAATTATTTAGTTAATTTGTACCTTCTATTTTTATTAGCTAGATTCTATTTTTGATTGCATATTGATATGGAAACAAAAATCCGTAGAAGTACTATATTAAACAGGCTCTATTTTAGGCTAAGTTTATATATGACATGTATTCTTAGCCAAAAATACAATACGGTTTAATTTCAATAACAATTAAATGTTATAGTATACGTTTAGGCTTAGAATTATGTGTTAAAATTATACGTTTTAATTCCATTATAACAATTAAATGTTATTGTATACGTTTATACGTTTAGGTTTACAATTAAAAAAAAACAGGCTCTATATTTAGACTATTTTACTTAATATATACTCCTATTAAATTTCTATGAATATTCATCTTCATAAGATTATATTAATCAATATATATATATATAAAAAAGGAACTTTTTAAGAGCATACAAAGCGCCATATAATCCTGCCATGTCATTATATATATTAATTATTTAGTTAATTTGTACCTTCTGTTTTTATTAGTTAGATTCTATTTTTGATTGCATATTGATATGGAAACAAAAATCCGTAGATGTACTATATTAAACATGCTCTATTTAAGGCTAAGTTTATATATGACATGTATTCTTAGCAAAAAATACAATATGTTTTAATTTCTATAACAATTAAATGTTATAGTATACGTTTAGGCTTAGAATTATGCGTTAAAATTATACGTTTTAATTCCATTATAACTATTAAATGTTATCGTATACGTTTATACGTTTAGGCTTACAATTTAAAAAAACAGGCTCTATATATTTAGACTATTTTACTTAATATATACTCTGTATTAAATTTCTATGAATATCCATCTTCATAAGATTATATTAAACGTTTAAAATCGGGTTCATAGCAATTATATTTACTCGAGATGCTTATGTAGAAGATCAATTTAACTATTTTTCATATAATCTTTTTCTGGCTTCACAAATGGAATATATTTTACATATTTTTTCATGATTCCACTCATTTAGCTCATTCAATCATAATTTAATCAATTTGAGTAAAATAAGTTAATTCAATTTATTTTAGTATTATCAAATATGCTCTATATTAGACTGACTAAGTTTATTTTTCTTTTAAATCACATTACATATGATCCGAAAGAAATCAAATTTCAAATTAGCTAAATTACATTTGTCCGTGCATTGCACGGGCTTGAAAAGCTAGTTTGAGAATATGATGGAATAAAACAAAATATTCACTAAATTGTCTACG